ATCAAAAAATCCATTTGAGTTCATTTTAATTCAATCGACAGTCGGTCCAAGAAAAATCAATCGGAACGTGGCACGATTGCGGTAGAGTCGTAATGCATGTGTATAAATAATATCAACATATTTGAGTCGCTATTTAAAGGCCAGCACGTGAGTAAATGGAAATATAAAAATAATATAGTTGAGTGTGCGCCGAATTAAACGCGCATTCATTGGCTGCGGTTGAATTCATTTCAATTTTTAATTATGCGCGTAATTCTTTAATGCGGTCCCATTTTAGGCTAAGTGCGCATACGAAATGCTGAATGCTGCGGGCGGGCTTTACGAGTATTAAAGTGAGGAGAAAATCGATTGATTGAATGAGTGGGAAGACTAGCTGATTGATTTATTGATTTAAAATCTGATTGATTTACTGGATGCTAAAAAGCAGATTGACTGATTGAGTGAGTAGCTGACTGATTGACTAAAGGCCGATTGACCGTTTGACTGAACAGAAAAAGGCTGTGTGATTGACAGTTAGGCTGAGTGACTGATTGATAATTCTTAGATTTGCTGATAGACTATTTGTTTAATTGATGGACTGACTTATTGATTGATTTGCTGATAGACTGGTTGATTGATTTGTTGACTGCTTGACTTAGTCATTGTCTGTTTGGCTAATTGACAGATTTGCTGATAGACTATTTGATATTGATTTATTGAATAATTTACTGATTGACGGATTTATTGATTGATTTTATGATTGTTTGACTTAGTCATTGTCTGTTTAATAGATTTCCTGTCTAATTGACAGATTTGTTAATTCAATGACTTACAAAAAACTGGCTGATCGATCAATCACTCAATTACTCAACCGATAAATTTACCGAATATTTAAAAACAGTATTGGAATTGAAAATGGATACAAATTCTATAGTCCAAGCGGTTAAATTATAAAGAAAATTAACTTACTTTATTCAAATTATGATTAAAGTCCAAATCCTAAGAACTTCTATACAAGTTTCTGCTAACAAAACTTTGACAATTTCCATTTTGTTTTTGTTTTATTTTAACAAACTTTTATAAAATTCCATAGAAAACTGAAAGGAAATGTTTGCAAGAAACATTTCTGTATGGCATCCATTTAACCGGCTATAGATAATGGATTAAGATAGAAGGGTGGGTGGGGCTTTCAATTTGGCCACAGACAATGGCTTTGAATAATTAATAACAAGAATTGGAATAAACTCACCTTCATGGAAGAACGCCAACTGGAAAGTGCTGCGTCAAGGATTCACGGATTCACACACAGTTTGTGTTTAATACTGAGCAAATTGCAATGCTGGCTATGCTTGGCCTGGCCACGAGCTGTTGTTGCGATTGTTGATTAGCATGCCACTGGCGATGGCAGCAGCAGCGGCAGCAGGTACATTAGCTTTTCAATATTAGATATTTTCTTTTGCTCTGCTTCTTCTTCTATTAGCACTTTTCAATTAAGATGGAGCAACTCAACTGAAACATAACCGAACTGAACTTTCACTTCAGATGCGCTGGCATTATGCATTTTTATTGTGCGCTGATTACTTTTCATTGTTGGGCGTAGCATGTGTGCGTGCGTGCGTGTGTGTGTGTGTGTGTGTAAATATTTGTTAAACAATGCATACATTTATGTTAATATTTGCACTCGTACAATAACAGGCAACTCGCATCACTTGGCTGGGTATATAAATCGTTCAATGCTGTTGCTGTTGCTGCTGCTGCTGCTGAGGCAGATTGCGTATACGCCGCGTATGCGTTGCCATTGAAATTGCGCTAATGGCATTTCAATAACGCATTTGCAACCGCAGCTCTTTTGCAACAAACATTTCTGGAATTTTAAATCATTTGTGCGTGTGTGTGTGTGTGTGTGAGTGTGTTTTCATATGTATTTCAGTGCGACGTGTTGAATAAAACATTTGGGCAACATCCTTTGAATTATTCAAAATTCATTCCGACACAAAACTTCTCTCTTTTACACTCTGTCATAAAGTGGGCAAATCGATTTTGCATGCGACAGGCATTTTAAGGTCGACTGGTAATGAAAAAGTTATACTCGTTTTGCTTTTTCCTCTTTTTTCGTTTACCAACTTTTTGGATTCCCACAAATGGCATTTCAACAACAAAATAAAAATCAAAACAAAAGAAATTATATAAAATATATGGTCAACTTTTATAACAAATGTGGCAAGCTGACCATTATTTGCAACATCAAGTAACTTTCTGATTAAAAAAATAATTTGCTAATTTTATTTATTTTTTTTATCATATCTGACGGTTAAAGATAATTTGATTATAAATATTAGGTCTCTAAGCTACAAACAGCCGATATATAAAATAAACTATATGAGCAAAAGCTATTGCATGTCTGTAGTTATATTTTGTAATCCATAATTAATAATAGATAAATTATTTAATTTTATGCTTATTCCAGGCACAAATAACTCATCACAACCAAAGTAAACATGATTTCTATTTTTTTAATTTTGCAGGCCTGAAATCATTATTTGATTCACTCATTTACATATTCAAATCCTCAGACTCAGAAAACTTTCCTGTAAGTGTCAAATATATACAACATTAAGCTGAGCAGCTTTTCTTTATAGAATAATTATTAATTTTGTATTTTCAACAGTAATTATATATTTATTATCTACTTCTTGCAATCAAATCTTTAAGACAAGCTTAGTAAAGTAAAAGCGAATTAAATATCTGATTTATTCACTTCGGTGAGTTTCAGTGCAGCCACAAACTACATGAACTCAAACAATATTTCCAAGTACTCTGACCTTCGATTATAACAGCTTGAAACCTTGTTTTCTGTCTGTGAACCATTTCGACAACTTATTACAAAAAAATATAACACTTATGCGAGTAAGAAATTAGAAAGTCTTTGATGACAGACCTAAGCCTGCCCAAGCAGAAGACTGAACAACAGATTTTTATTTTTAATGCGAACTTAACATTCTTTTTATGACATTGAAAGTCGCTGTTGATGCTTCCCAAGTTGCCTTGTTTTGTAGCCTCTTTCAGGCTGACAGAAAGGGAGGGAGAGAGAAAGACAGAGACAGAGAATAAGTATAAGAGAGACAGGCAGAGAGCGCGCGGTTACCTGTTACATGCTATGTGAATGAGCTTATAGAGCATTAGATCATGCTGCTTAGTTAACAGACGCTCTAATTCGAAATTCAAATCGTAAATTTCGAGCATGCAAATGCGATTGTCAAATAAATATAAAGAAAAAAAATAAAACAAAAATAACATGAAAAGTCGTAAGAAAACAGAGCCATTGAAAGGACACACGCTCACACTTACACACACATATGACAGTTGCAAATGTACATGTATCCTCGGAACAGGCACATAAAAATGTAATACTTTTTTTTCGCCTGACGATGATGATGATAATATTTTCTGATATTTTCATTACATTGTTGTGCTTTTACGACTGTTATCCTTGAGTGAAGAACTTGCTACGGGATGCTAAAACCAACACGCATACACACACACACGCTCACACAGCAGTCAAGCAAAACCTCTGAGCCTTACACACACAAAAACAGTCTCACGCACACGCACACACATACACGCATGCGACGTGAGCGAGCTTTTTCCACCTAATGTCTAAACCGTTAGTTTTCAGAGACTGCAAGAAACAGAGTGGGCAGATATTTCACCTTCACACTTTAGGGTTTTTTTAGATGTTACAATTGAATTTTTATTATATTTTTATAATTTTTTAAAATTATATTATTATTAAATCTTTTTACAAAATTATTACACTTCACACCACCGATCGACACGGTTTATATTATTTGTTTTATATTTAACTGCCTTGGTTGAGTTGTTGAGTTTTAGCAATTTATGAATAAATTTTTTAAATATTTACAAACGCGCTTTGAGAACGTGGGCGCAACACACGAGATGTTGTTCCGTTGCTCGTTGAAATTGAACTGAATTCTAACAAGTACACGGCAGCCTAACCACGCACAACTACATATACAGTAGGCATGCGAGCTTTTTTACACGGACCAACGATGCGTGGGTGGCCACTAAGAGCGAAAGCTCCAAACAGAGAATTGGTGTACGTTGCTGTGCATGTAAGTAGAAACAGCAAGACAACATAGGCACATGTTACCCTTGAATAAATTAATTGAAAACACTAGTATTTTTATTATTATTATTAATATTTGTTATTAAAATTAGAGTATCCTTATTTTCTTGTAATAAAAAAAAACCTGGTATTAATTTTGAATTAAATATATTATGCCTTTTGCATATTTCATATCGATAATACGAGCCTATCGAAAAGTATGACAACATGTCCAGCCCTGATTATTTCATGTTACTTGTCAGCCCTGATAGCCAAAGCAAAACAAATCATTTGTCTGTTCAGAAAATAAATAAAAAGAATGTCTGATGCTTATGCATATGCTGCCAAAGGCAAACTGAAACTAAAATGCGATTCGGAGCTCAAGAAAAAAAAGAAGAAGAAGCATAAGAGCAAGGACAAGGAGAAAGAGGAATTGCAACAAGCATACGTCGAGCAGCAAATCAACGAAGGTGCTAATGGAACTGTACAAGCCTCGACTTCCAATTCAAGTGGATACCAACGCAAGCTCACCAAAGCAGAACTGGCCACCAAAAAGCAACAGGAGAAGATGCGAAACAAACGCATAATGGACAAGGCACAGACAACGCACAAGCAACGCGTAGAGAAATTCAATGAGCATCTGGATACGCTGACCGAGCATTTCGATATCCCCAAAGTGTCGTGGACGAAATAAGCAAATGCACTTATTTGCTTGCTGTGCTGTCCGATATGATGAGCTGGTAGTGTTAATGACTCTCGTATTCGTATCGTATTTAAGCCTGAGCAAGGATTATATTGAATTATTGAGAGCTATTCAACAATCCATTAGAGCTGCTCAACTCAATATCACCATGCTAATTGAAAAGAAGAAAATAATGCATCGTTAGTGTAAACATTTCCGAGTGTTATATATATATATTAAGCATAATTTTGACTAAACATTATGTTTTGTTGAGAGGCCAATATAAATGGCTGCATTAAACTAAATACATATAGGGTAATACATATACTTTAAAAAATAACAACTTAAAAGAGATGTTTCCAACATTCAGTCCACTTTCTAAAACAAGGCTATGAAATTGTTTTCAATGCGGTGCCATTAGCTCCAGCATGGCATATTTCCATGTCCAGGCACGTACCAACTGCTCGAAACGGGAACGTTCATGCTCGTAGATATAGCCAAGCTCCGGCTCCATGCAAACGTCAGTGTAGGGATCTGTGAGCAAACTTTGTACCGACAGCAAAACCTTGGCTGCATTTAGAGCCAGTGACCAGTTTTGCTGCTGGAATATATCGATACCGACATCGCCATGCCTGGACACATTCGGATGAAGAATTTTGGTTAGAAAACGCACCGTTGGCGGTGTCATGGGATAACGTTCCGGGAAGTATATGAAGAGAAAGAATTTGCCGCCCTCGTATGGGCTGCCCGGCGGACCGAGTATCGTTGCTTGCCAATAGTTATTTTGTCGATCCAATGGTATGGCCGATATGCCCTCCGCTTCGTAGCTATTCAACAGATTCGCTTCGCCGCGCAGAAAGTTATTGCGTATCATATTACCCAGTTCGCCAGCTGGTGGCGACTGGCTGCCCAGATCGATGAGGCAGGTGCGACAGAAGCAAGACGACATCAATGCTCCATACAACTTATACCAGTCCGGTTGCTCGGCGAGGCACTCGAACAGCGGCCAGCGCTGCTTAATGTAGGTCTTCCACATGGTCTGAGCCGTATTCTTGACAATAATCTCGTTCCACTGCTTACACACTTCGCTGGCCATCCACAGCGATATGTCATCCAAGTATGCAAATATTTTCAACATCACCTCGACGGGTATGCGATTTGTGATGCACTTGCTGCCACTGCTCCCGCTGCTGCTGCTGTTTCCACTGTTGTTTGCATTGTATTCATGCGCCCGAGCACGTCCGTCGGTCAGTTCGAGCATGTAATGGGGCAGAGCGTGTGGGGCGGCGGGGCGCGGCCGTTTGATCGGCAATAAAAATGGATTTACTGCACGTTCATGCTCGTAATCACGCTCCGGTGTGCCTCGTCTCGCAGGCAATGCTTGTGGTTCCACTTGCGGCTCTGCCTGTGGCTGCGCAGGCTGTGCTTCTTCTATATGCTCAGCTTCAATGTTTGCCGGTTGATGTAATTGTTGCGGATGCTGTTGTTGTTGTTGTGGTTGTTGTTGCTGCTGTGGTGCAGCTGGTGCCGCATCTTCTAGATCTTCGAAGCCCATTATATCCGCATCGTTTTCAGTTTCATCGTCCTCTTGTTTGTCCTTGAAAGGCGGCTCGTCATTGCCGGAGTCTTCGTCGTCTGACAATTCGGTTAGCAGCTCCTCAGCCCGTTGTGCATTGTATAGAAAAGCATGACAGGCACCGCAGAGCGGCTCACCGAAATTGGGTCCGTAATAGCCGTTGCAGACCCAGCACGCATGGCTGTTCTGCAGTTGCCAGGAATATCACAAATTACATCAAATAAAAAGTCATTCATTTTTATTTTTTGTATACACACCGAAAAACTGAATGTTGGCTCAGTAAGTAATTGTTTATCTTTTTCCTCCTCCTCAGCGATGTCACCTGAGTCATCCATTTCATCGTCGCTGGCGTTTAGTTGCTCCAGCAACTGCTCATCATCCTTTTGCTGCTGCACGCAGCTAGTCATTTTTGTAATCCGTTGAAAATTGTTATAAAAAAACACAACTGTCTTCTTCGTCATCCAACGTAAAAGTACTTTATGTAGTAAAGTATCGATTTTGTATCGATACCGATAGCAATGTTAGAGAGACGTTAACGAAGAACGAAGATTGTTTTGTACTTTCATCTAAAGCTGACGTCAGAGCTTTCGAAATTTGTTACATATACTACTTCAGATGTGCTATAGAACTAAGAGACTTCATAGTGTAATTTTACTGACTTTATAGCGTTTAGCTATAGTATATAAGTAGTTTAGATTAAATGAATATATATTGAAGTGTTATTTTTAATTGTGACGTCATAAAGTACTCATGCGAGTTGCAACCTCTTCAACTTACGTTCCCTAACTGGCAACAGCGTCACACGTGCAATATTTATAAAATTTCGCCAGCCATAAGATGAGGCCGAAAAAGAAACTAGGTATGATTAGGTTGTGAATAAATTGTATTTAAATTAAAATTTAATTAATCCTAATGCCGTCACAGCTGTGGGTCTTACCCGCGAGGAGCGACAAGTGCTTGTCATCGGCGAAATCATACAGGAACTGCTGAAGGCACACGAAAGTAAAAAGGATGTTAATTTGAATCGCATGAAGTCGCTGATATCGTCCAAATATGGACTAGATAGCTCACCACGTTTGGTAGACATTATAGCAGCAGTACCGCACGATGCAAAGAAAATACTTCTACCCAAACTACGCGCCAAGCCAATACGAACTGCAAGCGGAGTAAGTAAAGATTGATTGTGCTAAGTGTTTTATTTATAGTATACACTTTTAGATTGCCGTGGTTGCTGTCATGTGTAAGCCGCATCGTTGTCCGCACATCAATTTCACGGGCAACATTTGCGTCTATTGCCCCGGCGGTCCAGACAGTGATTTCGAATACTCCACACAATCGTATACGGGCTACGAGCCCACGTCGATGCGTGCCATACGCGCACGGTACGATCCTTTTCTACAAACCCGTCATCGAGTTGAGCAACTGAAACAGCTAGGCCATTCGGTTGACAAAGTGGAGTTTATTGTTATGGGCGGCACTTTCATGGCCCTGTCGGAGGAATATCGTGATTATTTTATACGCAATTTACACGATGCCCTCTCCGGCCACAGCAGCGCAAATGTAGCAGAAGCTGTACGGTATTCCGAGAAATCAAGAACAAAATGCATAGGCATTACAATTGAAACACGACCGGATTATTGCCTCAAGCGTCACATCACAGATATGCTGAATTATGGCTGCACACGTTTGGAGATCGGTGTGCAGTCAGTCTATGAGGATGTGGCCAGAGACACGAATCGTGGCCATACGGTGGCCGCGGTATGTGAAACCTTTAAGATGGGCAAAGATGCAGGCTATAAGATTGTCACACATATGATGCCCGATTTGCCAAATGTTGACTTTGAGCGCGACATCGAACAGTTTATTGAATACTTTGAGAATCCCGCTTTTCGCTCAGATGGCCTGAAGATCTACCCCACTCTGGTCATACGCGGCACTGGCCTCTATGAGCTTTGGAAGACTGGTCGCTACAAGTCATATCCACCGTCCATGCTGGTTGACTTGGTGGCCAAAATCTTGGCCTTGGTGCCGCCCTGGACGCGTGTCTACCGAGTTCAACGTGATATACCCATGCCTTTAGTTAGGTAAGATCTAAATTCTAATTGAATTGAAATTTCCTTTCATCTCCTTTCCAATCCCATTCTCTTCCATCTACAGTTCTGGCGTTGAGCATGGTAATCTGCGTGAACTGGCGCTGGCTCGCATGAAGGATTTGGGCACCGTTTGTCGGGATGTGCGTACCCGTGAGGTTGGCATTCAAGAGATCCACAATAAAGTGCGTCCATACGAAATTGAGTTGATACGTCGCGATTACGTTGCGAATGGCGGCTGGGAGACCTTCTTATCGTACGAGGATTCCGAGCAAGATATACTTGTTGGTCTGCTACGCCTGCGCAAATGCTCCTCGGAGACTTTCAGACCAGAACTGCAGGGCAATTGCTCCATTGTGCGCGAGCTGCATGTCTATGGCTCGGTGGTGCCTGTCAGCTCTCGAGATCCAACCAAGTTCCAGCATCAAGGCTTTGGCACTCTGCTTATGGAGGAGGCGCAGCGCATCGCTGTCGAGGAGCATGAGAGCACTAAGATTGCAGTTATCTCAGGTGTTGGAACTCGCAACTACTACCGAAAACTCGGCTATACATTGGAGGGCCCCTACATGGTGAAGGATCTGACTCAATATCGAAAAGAATTCGAAGCGCTAAATTCGACGGGTTGGTAGATCCAAACCTATTTCTTATGAATATGAGTTTAATATACATATAAGCTTAAAGTGAAACAATTGCTTTGTAAAATTATTGTTTGTCAAATATATATTATATATACATACATATAATACATAAAGAATTATTTGAGGTCTTTAACTGTGGAGGGCATAATATCGAATGAAGTATTAAAATTGATGGAATTTATGATATGTTAAAACTATTATAAAAAATAAATGCCTAATTTGTACATTGTTTAAATTTATATATGTTTTATAAATAGATGATTGTTTTTCTGTGGAAGCTTTATAAAATAGGTGTTAGTCTAAATATTTAAACCAAAATACAAATAAGTTATAAAAACAAATGAAATACATTTAATATGATAGTCAAGAATCCATGGGTAGTAAACGAAATCAGATTATGGTTACATTTATCAAGAAAGATATTATCATTAAGATAATAAATATTTGGATGCCATGATACATAGCTTATAGATTAGTTGAAAACACTTTAAAATACTTGGGTAAAAGAGAGCTTACAACGAATTATACGATATCATATATCTTATGCTTAATTGTGCACCAGTTGAGTGTAAAACTATTTTTTGGGCAGTGCCTCCTCGTCCGTGGGATCACAGTCGGCACAGTGCCATGAGTATCCGCGAATTTTAGGCGATTTCTTTAGTGGCGGCTCGAGGCAGGCGAAATGATAGTGTTTATGGCATTCATCACAAGTCACAACCTGATTGGCTTTAGCCGCTTGCTGGCAGATGCAGCAATTGATCTCAATATTGGCCTTAGGAGTGGATACACGTGGTCTGCCCACGCGCTGTTTGCGTGGCGTCGACTTCCGTGGACTGACCTTGCGCTGTGGTGAGGGCGTCTCTGGAGCCAACTTCGGCTCTTTAGCGGCTTTTTGTGGCGCCATTACGGTAGGCGTCACGACGACAGGCGCAGGTGGCTGCTCTGGTTGGATGACATCCTCAACTGTTTCCACAGAGGTGGGACGTGATGCCTCGTCCACAGAGCGCACCGCATTGGCGGGCACGTAAAAGCTGCGCGACTCGGGCGCATCTTCGCCGGGCAAGCGCAACGTTTTAAATATGATCTTAATGGGTCGCCCGGAGTTGGCATTATCGGGCGTACTCTCATCGGCATGAGCGCGCTTTTTACGCTTCCGTTTGTGCTCCTTGCTGAAAGACTTCTCGGTATCCGATGACAAGTTGTGCTTGTTTTTATGCTTATCCTTGCGCTTGCCCTTGCGCGATGATTGCTTGCCACTGGAATCATCAATGGAGTCCTCGCAGCCAGACAGATGGGAAATATTTGCAGCTTGGGGAATCGTAAGGTCTATGTGAGCGACCGTTTGAGCTGCAAGGGAAGAATATTATTAAAATGGATTACAATGGGTTACAAATATAGATTCTTACCATTCACAGGGGTCTTTCTTGGCGACTGCATCCTAGAGCGCTTTGGCGACTTGCTGTAATCATCGCCAGTGTCAATGGTTGCAGGCATGGTTTTGTTATGAGCTCTTTTATAATGCTGAGGCGTCTCTTTGGGCACATCGTCTAGTGAGTAACGATCCACATAGACTAAATGCCCGTCCTTGTTAAAGCGCGTGCGCGATTTACGCGGCCCTGGGGAGATTTCAGTCACCGCATCGGATACGTCTGATTTGTCACAACACTCGGAGCATTGCCAGCCATACTGCTTGGATTTCTTGGGTGGGCGCGTCAGCGGTGGATTCAAGCAGCCCAAATGATAGTGCAGATTGCAAGTGTCGCACTTCACAAGCAAATGCTGGTCATTATTGCGCTTGCAGATGCCACAGCTAACGGCGGGCGCAATGGTGGATGCCTTACTATGCGATTGCTGAGTACTCAGCATGCGGGAGTTGTCCAGCTTATTGCCCAAGTGGGCAAGGGGAAAACCAACGCCCATTTTCAGAGCTGCCGCTGTGGGCACAGAAATGGGCCGTTGTGGCGGTGTCGCCACCTTGGGCGGCTGTTCCGGCAACGGGCGTGCAATGCGCTCTACGGGTGGTAAACTCAGAGCGGGACAAAGCTGCGATAAGCTGCTATGCAGCGACTTGATGGACGCGACTAAAGCATCACGCGTAGCCTTCACTTGCTTGCGCTCCTCCAAGGCATTGTCATACTTGGCACGCAGCACATCCTGCGCCTGACTCAAAGCGGCATTATGCTGCACGAGCTCCTGCTGCTGTTGCCTAAATTCCGCCATGCGAACAATCCGATCCATATAGTAAGCCGTGAACTCAACACTAAATGCTGGAGCTATATGCCATTTTTTGCGTATGTCCTGGAGTGCTTGTATGTTCGCCTCACGCTGCTCCAAGTGCTGCACATCAACGGCCATGAACTCTGCCTTGGCCAGCAGACGACGGCAGGCCGAAGCCGAGCTAGTTAGCAGACGTGACATCTTTTGCGTGGGAACCCATGGTGTTGGCTTCATTTGCTTGTGTTGCGCATATTTTTGCTGTATCTTCAATAGCTTCCGTTGAATGCGCGCCTGTGCTGGATTTGGATTAGCTTCGATTAACGGTCGATTGGCTTCGATCAGAGCTCGTTGCTTGGCCTGCTGCAGCATATTGAGGCGCAGAGTGTGGTAATTGCGACGACGTTTCTTGATCATCTCCTTCTCCGAGTGCACCTTGCAGTGGGCGTAAAATGGATCCGCCGCGTCATCGTCGTGATGGGCCTCGATCAGATAACCGGCGGACTGCGCGCATGTGACATGGAAATACGTTTTACACATGCCCGCATCGCAGCCGATGCAAACGCCGGTGCGTGCGAAGAGCGCATTGTCGCACAGCGAGCACAGTTTGGCGCCCCATTTGCTGTACTGCATCTCAAAAAGCGTCACCGAGCTGAGCTGTTCCACCTCACCGAAAGCTACGCCCGGTACATATAAAGCACATATCAAATGCACCCATTTGCCCACATCTGTTTCCTTGTAAATGCCGCCCTTGTTGGGGCACAGCTCACAATCCGGCTCCGTGACGCCGGCTCGGCAAGCCTCGCAGAACCAGGGCTCGGTGGAGCAGGTGGAATTCGTGCTGGAGATACTCACATTGTCGCTAACGCCGTAGCAGCCTTCGTGCACACAGACACCACACGAATCACATTCCACAATTTCGTTGACATCGTCACTGCGTTCCCCCAGACACACGCAGCACATACGCTTTGGCGGGGCCACTGGCTCCGTATTGAAGCCATTTATACGAGGCACCGGCACTAGAGCGAGCTGTGCGGGTGCATCAGCTGCCGGTTGTGTTGATGCGTCCTGCTGTGCATTGTTGTTGCTCTCAGCTAGCAGCTGGCGCAATTGTAGCGTGGAATCATCGCTGTCATCGCCAGAATTACCATCTGCATCGCTGTCGCTGTTATCGCTGTTGCTGCTGGCGTCGCTGCTGTCGCCATCGCCGTCGCTTTCGTCCTTTGAGCCATCCGAGCAATTGTCTATGTCTGGCAAAAAATCACTGTCTGATGAACTTTCACCCAAATCAAAATCGAGCAATAATTGTGTTGTCATTTTTTGCTGGCGTACGCGTTTAAACGGCGCCATTGAAATAAAATTGCTCTTTTTGTCACGAAATGCAAGAAAAATCGTGCAACCTAATAGAGCTGAAAGTCTGTCGATAAATATTATCGTAAGCAAACTATCGATACAAAGACATCTCAATTTTGAGCATTTGCCGACGATTTATTTTGTGCTGCCAGCTAATCCAGCTACCGGTAAATCTAGCTTTTCTATCAAATATAAACACTAAGCAAATAACATTTAAGCTGTTTCTCTTAAAAAAGATTATGATTATTTTATTTTACAAGATAATAAGCAAATAAAAAACCATATGAAAGTTGTAGAGTACCTACACTCAAATGCGCTGGCTTCAGTGCTGCCAGCTTAGTCGATTTTATTATGTTAACTCTAATATTATATGATTGATGATCATGTAGTTACACTTATCAAATGTACAATATGATATATTTGAACTTGATCTCTAAAAGACCTCTAATTGCTCAATGGGCAACCATTTGGAGCTCTCCAAAGCATCATAGAGATGACGATCTGAATCGATAGTCTCTCTATTGAGTTTATCCACATCTAGCACAAACTTATGATCCTCCAGTCCATAATCATCTTCAACGGCGGGAACGCCGTTAGTTGCGGTAGTCTGCTGTTGTTGCTGCTGTTGCTCATATTGGGCGCTGCGCTGTGCGCTCCACGCCTCGGCATGCTGAGCAAGTGTCTGCGGATTTGAGTGGGATTGCGACATCGCTTGCTGATAGTAGGCGGCAGCATCGGTTATTGAGGGCGCAGCGCCTTGTTCGTAATAGCCCTGCCAGGCATTGTAGCCCTGCCAATAGGTGCTGGTCGGGTCGTAATATTGCGAATAATCAGCGCCGCTTGCACTCGTTGACGATGTAGACGCAGTGCTGGAACCGCCATAGCCATAAGTGCTGCTGCCGTTGCCCAGTGCAGCGTTTAGCTCAGCCTTGGGCTTGGGTACTGCATTGCAGATCTTTATCGGCTTGGTGCCTAAGCCAACATAGCCATTCATATCGTATAGTGCCGACTTTTGCTCGTCCTCGATGCCAAATCGCACAAAGCCGTAGCCTTTGGAGAATCCCAGACTGTCCAGGATCACTTTGGCCGTCTTTATTGATGTGTATTTGCTGGAGAAGACCTTGTACAACGAGTAGTCATCCACGTCCGAGCTAAGATCACCTACCCAAACACTGAATTCTCGCTCATTACCAGGTAATTTATATGAATTACTCGCCGAGTTCAATCTAAATCGTACAATGGGATTTGTGCCAGGTATGGGTTTTCCATTCAACTTGTGCATGGCGTCCAGGGCATGATCGTCCGATATGAAATTGACAAAACAATAGCCCGCTGGCTCGCCTGTGTATTTATTACGCATCAGACGCACAGTTGTTGGATCTTCGCCCATTTTGCGAAATGCGGCAATTATGAAATTTTCCGTCATATACGGTTCCAGCTGCAAAACAATGCAAATATTGTGTGCAATTCTTTTATGCTTTTTATTTGCTACCTACACTGCCCATCCATAGTTGACAATGCACGGACGTCATTTTGTCGGTAAAATTTTTAATATTGCGCAGATATTAACAATAAATTGACAGAAAACACACGCGTAAACAAAGTTTATAATAAATTGACTATCAGCAGTGCTGTATCGAATTTATCGATAGCGGAGCTGCCACCTTGGTGACTATTCATAGAAATTTTGAGCACAGCAACCAAATACAAGTATCTGGCAGCACTCTCTACAGTTCATATTTAAGTTCTGACGGCTTATCAAATCCAACCGATATGCGTACAAGTTCTGTAATTTTCGCCCAATTTACGGCCAAGTTAAAGGAATTGCGTATAATATTAGATCCAACATGCAAAGCCTCTAAGGGAGCCAGGTTGTTGAGCAATTGTATTTCTCAATTATATAATTTAATATAGAACAAGTATTCCCATAGGAAATTCGTACAGCAATTTTATCCGAGTTTGAAAAAGAATAATCCAAACCTGACTATTTTGGTAAGAGAGTGCGCCGGCGTGAAGCCAAAATTGTGTGCTCGCTTTGGTAAGGTGCCATATCTAGAGTGTTTCGGTTCCATATTATTATTTATCATATAATTTTCATTTCAGAAAAAGGCAAGGAAATTTCCATCCCGATAGCCAATCAGACTATTCCAGATATTCAGAAAACTTTGGAAGCGGTTGGTCGATGAAATGGATTAAAGCTTTCAATGTGTAGAATAATATAATGGCAGTTGTAGGAAAATCAAATTAGTAAATGGCAAACAACGATAAATTTGTATTTAGAATATGGAACAGGGACACTCAAAATTTAATTACTAAATGGCGGCAGTCCAAATTCTTCGGGCTTAAAGTCGTTTAGCGAACGCAGCACTTTTGTGGCATGGGCGCAACGTTCCGGGGAGAGTCGCTCATCGGGCACCATGACGACCTGCATTCCCGCGCTATTACCAGCTTCAACTCCGTTTGGCGAATCTTCAAACACCAAGCAATTGGCCGGCGCAGGTTTATCCGGGAAACGACTGGCGGCAACCAAAAATATATCGGGTGCCGGCTTGCCATTCTTCACCTCACTATCGGTGGAGCCGCAGACACGATGGTGGAAAAGGTTGAAGAGCTCACGATGATGTGTGGTCTTCAATTCGACCATTTCGGCGCCCGAGCTGGTGGCCAGAGCGAATGGCACTTTATTCGCGTGCAAATGACGCAAAAGGCGCTCAGCACCTGTAAAGGATTGGGATTACATTTTAGATTCGTTTGCTGTAGCATATCGGGTAGTGCAAATTTATAAATCAAGCATTTTTTTTCCTTGAGTAAGTACAATGCGAACATATAAAACTTTAATAAAGTCAGTTCGTCGGCTAAAATCTATTCATTTTCATGGAAACTGCAAATTCAAACTTGAGACAGAAACTACAATTAATTTATCACTTTTTGTTTTGGATGTTATTTCTCTTAGAAGAAGGTATGTTGAGTTGGTTGCCGCTCATCATTAAACATCCAAAACTATCGAACTATCCGACAATCGGTCCATGTATTTAAAAAATTCTTATTAGAACTTTATCAATCTATTCAGGGCAGGCGATAGCTAGTCAGGCATGCAGGACTAGAACAAAATTATGGTATTAGAAAAGAAAAACGAAAAAAAAAAGCAGATGAGGGCGTACTGATTTAACATCTACTCTAAGAACAGCTGAGGAGCGGGCTAACCTTCGAGTAGGGGCACATTCCTCAACCGTTCGCCGCACAATTTGTGATAACGCTGCAGAAAATCATTCACTGTAATTGGTATTGCACACTCAGCGACAGCTATTTCGGCTGATCGTCGTTCCGTAGTACCCATTACTCTGAACCGTACAGCCTCTGGATATGGACGACCATATGCGCCCGCTATTTGTCGTGTGATCTCCTCGTAAATGCGTTCAGTGTCTGAAATAGGGCGAATGTGGAATTACAAATTAGTACCTGGCATTAATTGTGAATCGACCATGAGGGCGCGTGCATTGTCCGATTGTTGTTTGGCGTACTCTTCCCAAGTTAATGGCAGATCATACTCTTTAATCATAAACTCGGCCATCTGACGCGTCTGCAAACCCATTATCTGTTGCTTCACATCGAACGTGTAAGTCTTTCCATACGGATCGAGCACCATTTGAGCGGCCTTCGTGTAGAGAACCTCGGTGTCTGGTTAGAAGCATGTGTAAACTATGATATATCGATAGCTCTTAGATGCTTACCCAACAGCAATCCATCCATATCGAAGATGCAGTGCGTCACATTTCGCAATATCTTTTGAGCCATATTTCCACTTTCCTATTGCTCGTTATGTAACGTAGTAAATGTGCTTGATTTGCCACTAACAGTTAACAGACACCTGTAAACAAAAGATAGAACATTTAGAACAAACTTTCCGTTACCGGTTTTATTTTTGGGGCGATTTCCTTTGTTTTGCGTTCTATGAACAAATTTATTGTTTGCATTTTTCATTTTTAATTGCGTTAATTACGTCCTTCAGTCAAGGACAATCATAGTATATAGAAAGTGTTACAGGTAAATCGATCTACCTTGACCGACACGCAACGCTCTATCTATTATCTCTGCAGCGTCCAAAGTAAACACACCCGCTCAGCCAAACGAGACGCGAAAATCTGAAAGCACTTGCGAAACTTGCGTTCAATACGCGGAAGAGTAGCGACAAGGTTGCCAGACTATTTGGCTTATGGCAAATTAGAAATTTTCCGTGCTGCATACCCTGTAGGGTTTTAGGTTTATTATATAGAGAATATCTGTTTGTATTGAATGTGCATTTGACATATGTATAGAAAAATAGATTAAAATAATTCAATTTTACTTAAAAATGTATATGTATGTGAACATTTTTAACATAACATAAAATATTACAACATATATTTGCTATACTTTGACTGTTTATAGGGTATGTCAAAGTCGGAGCACTGGATAGAAAATGTCAACACTTGTTGCCAGTGTTTTATAACTGTTGACGCACGCAAAATATGCTTTAGAGCATGTAAGCGATAGCAATAAATTTAGATTGTTTATTCACATGTGAGGTTTCCCAGAAGCTTGGCAGTGCTGCCACATTTATATCGAACTAACCCTGACGTCACAAAAACCACTAAGCATGCAAACACAATAAATGTTTTTCTTTTTAAATTTATTAAAAAACAAATACATTTTTGATGGTCGAATGTATTACGTTCAGTTGCATTTAAAAGAGGAATATCTGCAAATAATAAGAGTAAATTAGTTAACAAAAATAGTTAAAGTTAAATAGATTGAGACCCACCTTAAACTTAGGCGCTCAGCAAGCAGACACCACCGGCCTTCTTGATTTTGTCCTCAGCCTTCTTGGAGAAGTATTTGGCCTTGACGATGACGGGACGAGCGGGCAAATGGCCACGGCCCAACAGCTTGTAGTAGCCCTAAAGAGAGAAAGAATTGGCACACATTAGAGAGTGAAAATCAATAAGGGCAAATATATAATCGACTGTGATTCTGATTTTTGTTTGTATCTGAAAGGCGTTATCTACACGGGGAGAGCAATTTGTACGGTTGCATTCAGTCCGCCCATCGCCTTGGGTGTCTCTTCATATTGAACAAAAATCAAGCAGATATTTTTCAAATTTTTATATTCGATATGGAACTTACAAATTGAATCAGATCGATAACTGGCGCCTTTGTGCTCTTCTCTTTCTCGAGCTCAGCAAACTTCTCGGGTCCGACCAGAGACCACAGTTTGTCCAAATTAATTTCGGGCCTGAACTTGTGCTGGCGACGCAGATGGAAGTTCCTCATGCCAACCTTGCCGAAATAACCAGGATGGTATTTGTCAAAGTTGATGCGGTGATGGTGCATGCCACCAGCGTTACCGCGACCTCCAGGATGCTTGCGGTGCTTGCCGATACGGCCATGACCGTGGCTGACATGACCACGAAGCTTCCTGGTCTTCTTCCTCTTGATATTCGACTAAAAACAAAGAGAAAAGAACAACTTCAATTATTTTCTGCAGTTACACGTGCATTCCAAGCGGCAAGTGAAGACGTTGGCCATCAATTAAACACATGGCAGAGGTTATGTTTGCACGCCATTGTCGAATTTTGGTCTTTTTGCTCACGTTTGGATAGCTGAAGCAAGCCTCATTTCACTTTATTGCCAAAGGCATAATTGCCATTTAACTTATATACATTTGCATTTGTTTTTGTATTTTACACATTGCTTTTAAGTTAAATTGAAATGCACAACTCATATCGACGTCCACTCACCATCTTCAGAGTTTTGGAAAGAAAGAAGTGAGTAAAGTTGGCTGCGCTTCAAGCTGTCATTGGAATAGTGCTAAACGTTCTTCAACACTGTTAGGGTTACCTTAATTACCTTTGCAAATGAATATTTAGAAAAGTTGGTTCAGAATTCAAAAGCAGGGTAAAAAAGTAAATAATACATTTTATAATTGTAATTTAAAAAACGGGCAGTAAGCCAGTACACATTGCAATTAATAAATTACTCATATCATTTTAAATATTTGCTATCGATTAATTGCCATTTTATTTCGATAAGAAATATCGTACTCGGTATTTTCATGTTTAGCACTTGCAGTCACACTGCTGTTTATTTATGTTTAGTCGCTGCTGTCGAAAATTATTGCATATTTTAGTTTAGTCAAGTAAAAAGTGTAATTTTAAAACAAATTTAACTGCAACACGAAACGAACTAATATCGGGTTAAGAATATCAAAGCGTATGTCTTGCGACAGCAGCGGTAGTTACGCGACATTTGCAACACTTTTGTATGGCCGTGTGTGTTTTTCTAGTCTGCTGAGACCCAGAAATAGAAATTCTCTTGGCCAAACCAAAAAGGCATTTTGTGTATTATATATATACTATATATATACATATATATTTGTATGTATTTACATATGTGTATAGTGAGTGAAAGCGCGTGTTTTAGTCATATTTATGCGCGTGCCTAGGCAAATGCGCTCCGGCGGCGACATCAGCAGCCGCGCTAGTTAAAAGTACAAAAACAAAGTAGCCAAAAAGTTGTTGCGGTAGCAAGCATTAAAAAGGGGAAGGAGGGCTTCACCTCATTACTCATCCGTCTATTTTGTGCGTGCAAAAAAACGACAAGCGAGACAGCAACAACAACAACAACGATTACATACAACGAACGACGACAAGCACCAGAGGCGCAACAAATGTTTGTTAAAACGTAACAAAGGTAA